TTCCTTGCTTTCTTTTCTTTTGCTTGACTGGAGGATATGATGGATCTTCATTTAGTTTATGAGTCATCACCTCCGGTGGTATCCCTGTCATGTCAGTATGGGACCAAACAAAACAATCTGTGTTAGCTTTTAAAAATTCAATCAACTTACGCTTCACCTCCGGGCTAAGATTGGCTCCTATATACACTTTTCTCTCTGGCCAGTGTATAAACAAAACCACAGCCTCCAGCTCTTCTATCGTCGTTTTGATGTTTTCATTTTCCTCTAGTTCTTGAACGAAATCGGGCCTTGAATCTACATCTGTTTGTTCTTGTTCAGTTAAGGTTGACGCTATGTTATCCTCAACTGGATTCTGTAATTGCTATTTTTCTTCACCCTTTCGTACTTGAATTTGCCATGGAGTTGATGTTCCTAGATGTCTGTTGATCTCCCCTGATTTGACATATTCCCCTTGGCGCTGGAAATTTAATGACTTGATGCAAGGTTGAAGGAACAACATCCATTTCGTGGATCCATGGTCTTCCAAGAATCATATTATAAGACATCTCCATGTCTACTACCTGGAACTTTGTATCTTTGACGACTCCTTCAGCAAATGTGGTGAGCGTTACCTCTCCTTTCGTAACGACGCTGGAATTATCAAACCCAGATAGAGTATGTGCCTTTGGTATTACTTTATCTTCAGCGTGCATCTCACGTAATACTCTTAATAGAATAATGTTTACGGAACTACCTGGATCAATCAAAACTCGTTTTACATTAGTATCGTATACAATTAAAGATATTACCAGTGCATCGTTATGAAGGGTTAACACGCCATCTGCATCTGCATCATTGAATGTAATGTTGTCTTCTTCTAAAACTTGCCGCACCCGTTTTCCTTAGGTAATTGTTACTTTGGAAATTTTGTTAGCAGCAGTATATGACATACCATTGATGTCTTCACCCCCACTTATAACGTTGACAGTTCTTTTGGGAGAAGGTGGTTTTGGAGACTCCTGCTTGTTCTTCATGTACGCCTGCTTACCTTTCTCACTGAACAACTCAGTAAGATATCCTTGTTTTAACAAATGATCAACTTCACCCTGTAAAAATCTGCAATCTGCTGTTTTATGTCTGTGGTCGTTATGAAACTCGCACCAATGATCAGGATTGCGCCTATTTGGATTTGATCTCATCTCCTTTGGCCATCGAACCTTATCTCCCATGCTTCTCAAAACAGCTACGAGCTCGGAGGTGCTGACATTGAAGTTGTAACCACTGAACCTTGCTTTTAAATTTCGATCATCATCTCGTGACTCATGGTTGTTTCGCTCGTTCCTAAATCTTGATGAAGAGCCTGATTCTCTATTTCTAGACCGTGAGTCTTTTCCCGCAGGTCCCATATAAGGCTCGTACCTATTTTTACCGGATCTTTTTTCGGACTCTGAACGTCTCGAACTTACCTTTTCTTCTTTTTGAAATCGTGGAACGGTATCTTCCTCAATCCTCAGCTTCGTGCTATACCTGTTATAAACATCATTCCACGTTGTAGCGGGGAATTCTCGAAGGCTTTCCTTGAGTTTCCTCGTAGCTTCCGAGCTTTTTTCATTCAAATTACTTGTGAAAGCTATAGCTGCCCAGTTGTCAGGTACACGTGGCAATGTCATTCTTTCACGTTGAAATCTGTCCACGAATTCCCTAAGTAGTTCTGAGTCCCCTTGCTTGATTTTGAAAATATCCTCCATTCTTTTCTCTACTTTTTGAGCTCCCGAGTGTGCTTTGATGAAAGAATCTGCAAGCTCAGCAAAAGAATTTATAGAATTTTCGGGTAAAAGAGAATACCATGTTAGCGCTCCTTTGGTGAGTGTTTCACCAAATTTTTTGACTAATACTGATTCAATCTCCTGCTTAGTCAAATCATTGCCTTTTACGCCCGTTGTGAATGCAGTCACGTGGTCTCGTGGGTCTGTCGTTCCATCATATTTTGGAATATCAGGCATTTTGAACTTTTTTGGAATTGGAAGTGGAGCAGCACTTGGCTTCCAGGGTTGTTGCGAATATCTATCCATATCTACCCCTTTGATTATGGGTGGCACCCGGGTATCTGCTCTATGCGCTCACTTTGCTCCTTGAGCTGTTTCTGCAAGGTTAGTACTTATAAATCGGAATTAAATACATTACCTGGTTCTCTCTCCTGTGATTCGCTGGGAGTTCCTCCACCGCCTGAGTTAACAAGCCCAGAACGAGGGTTTTCCAAAGTGTTGTTATTTGGAGTAGGTGTGGGTGTTGCAACAGGTAACTGATTAACAAGTGCCTCAACAGCTTTATTGACATGAGCAGCAATTAATTTCTGCAAAGCCTCATCAACAGCTTCAGCATTTTCAAATTGACCATGCTCGTTTATTTGAGACCCATCAGGAGTACCCTCACGAGATTGTCGTGGTGAGCCGTGTAGAGTAGAAACTCGAGCGTTAATATGTTGTGGATCTTCCTGATTTTGTTGATTCATTTGGTTTCCTTGAGTGTTATCATTGTTGTTCGACATAGTTGATGCAACAAGGAAAGTTAAGCGAAAAGAAAATAGATTATCAGATTCCCGGTAACGGAACCAATTTGTTTAACCAAAAAATAGATTTTTAGTCAAAGCTAAAATTTAGAAGAACTCGGGTTACTGATAATCAAGAAAATGAATAAAAAGAAGTAATTCTGGATAGCAAGATGGTAATCAAGAGAAACAAATAAATCAATGTCTATTTCAATAGTCTTTCCTCTCCCTATAACTGATCATATATCTCCTTTTTATAGGTACCTTTGAGAATATACGTTTTGCTCGAATCATAATGAGGCTATTATGAGTAATTAAAGACATTGAATGCTATGTTACACGATCATTACATTCAAAATATATTCTCTAACGTATTCAGCATTTAATGCTCATTAAATGCCGTATCTGCACTCTTTTCTATTGTCAGATTCATTCCTTCTGATTCTCGGATATAAATAACTTAAATAGGTACGAGCGCCGTGTTACTTGTCTGATGTCCCGTGCCTCTTCCTCTTTCTTTGCTCGTATCTGTTGTAACTCCTGACTCGTGGCTAATTGCGATTCTTTGACCATTTGACTAATCCACGTGTCTTGACACGTCACCTTTACATATAAATATAATTTTTCCCAATACAGTCATATCAAAACAAATTAATAATACAACTAAGGCAAGAAGTGATACAAGACGATCTCATAGTTTATTCTCGATTGAAATACATATATGTAGTTCAATTTTAAGAGAGAACTCATGCAATGAAGAAAATTAAGTTACCTGCAGAAAATTTGATAACCCAATAATAACTATGGTAGTTTAAACAAAAACGTGATCCTTCATATAAACGGAATTGGAGGTTCAACGTATATGGCTATAAAACTTTAATCTTATGTATAGGACATAATATTTCAAAGAATTAGAAGTTTAAAAGGTATTAGAAGTTCTTGCTAATTCGTATAAGGCAAGGAATTTATAAAAGTAATATTTTAGTGGATACTAAATTGCTGAATATTAGGAGTTTTTATATCTTTTAATTGAGAAAAGATATTATAGTCAATTTTTGTAATTAACTTGAAAGTCTTAAATATTAAAAACATTATTAAATGATTATTTTGTCTCGTGTAAAATCTATTCTTAAAGGGTAAAAAAAGCGAACGATATTTCGCTATGGGCTTTCGTGCTTTTAATATAGTATAAATTTTGACAAAAGGGGCTCAAATTTTACTTTAATTACAACCTACAAGTTTAAATTCATATGCAGTACTACTAGTACTTTTGATTTTTTTAAAACTTTATTATGTGAAAATAGCACGGTCTAGCCAGTTTTCGGACTGACCATTCAAAAATAGCCAGCGTTTACCAAGTCAATGAAAAATAGTCACTATTTTGCTGCAACAGAGACCGGTCCAGCATAATATACTGGAGTTCAGTGCACCTGTGTATGAACTTCCAGCATATTTGCTGGAACTCCAACACACGGAAAGTTCCAGCATAATATACTGGAGATTTGAGCACTTGTGTATGAACTTCCAGCATATTATACTGGACCGGTATACTTTGCTGGAACTCCAGTATATTATGCTGGAGTTCTAGTGTACTTATGCTGGAACTCCATCATATTATGCTGGAGTTCCAGCATACTTATCCTGGAACTCCAGTATAATATGCTGGAGTTCAAGTATACTTATGCTGGAACTCCAGCATAATATACTGGCGTATTTTCTGGGTTTTGAAAAGTGTTTTCGCTCAGATTTATCTTTACATGAAAAGTGACTAGATTTCGTTTACTTTTGAAACTGAACTATTTTTAAACGACAAGTTATAAATTTGATTATTTTTGAATTTCTCCCCTTTATTATTAGAGTTCCTGGTTTCGGGATCAGTCCGAAGTCCAAACATTCGTCAGACATTACAAAATCTAAGATATATTATTTTATTATTTCGTATCTGTGTTTGTATTCGATGCCGTTCTTTTGTTTCCCTTTGAATTAAATAAATAACTCCATAGTCAAACTTCTATTTTAAAAGTATGAGGTCGTCATTTCACTCCCTGTCTTCTTCTCACCAACAATTTCTTCCCTTATCTCTTTCCCTCTCCTCTCTTTCCTTTCCCTATTCTTCAATCCCAACCCAAAAACTCCATTTCTGCAACAAAAAACTTGTCGCACAAATGTCAAACCCGACCCTGAATCCGAACCCAAACTCCGATCGTTTAAAAGAACTGAAAGAATTCGACGAGTCAAAAATCGGAGTCAAAGGCCTTGTAGATAAGGGTCTTACTACTATACCCAGTTTCTTCATCCACCCATCAGAACCACCGACCCCGGAACCCAAAACCCGACCCGGTTACAAACACTCCATTCCCGTCGTTGACTTCTCTGCCCCTCGGTCGACTCTCGTTGACCAAATTCACCAAGCTTCGACGACCCTCGGATTCTTCCAGATTATCAATCACTCAGTCCCCTTAGAAGCCATAAACAGAATTGTGGGGTCCATAAAAACATTCAACGAACAGCCCGATGAAGTAAAAATGAAGTATTACAGTAGGGACATGTCACGTGGAGTAGGGTACTCCACGAACTTCGATTTGTACAACTCCAGAGCTGCCAGCTGGAGGGACACGTTGCAGATGAGGTTGGAATAAGAAATCTATATTGCTTATCATTTTGGTATTTTCTAGTTCCTTTTTAATTAATGTCTAAATGGATTTTATAGACATATCAAAATTTGAAGTTTATAGATTCTTACCTCAAGTTAATATACAATAATAACTGAGTTCTAGTCAAATATTTATAGTTATTAGTGAATTTCTTAATACATATATACGGTCTGAGCAATAGTTACGGGATTCACGTGAACCCACATGTTATATGCTAGCTCTGCCTCTGGTTTCTATTAAAAGTAGGTTTTACAGTATTATAAATAGGGGTGTTACTATCTATTTTCTTGTGTTAAGATTATACATGAATTAATTTTTGGTTATTGTATCCTTCAGGTTGGGTCCCACACCACCGGATTGGGAGCACGTGCCGGAGGTGTGTAGGGATGTGGTGGTTGAATGGGATAAAGAAGTGGTGAAAATAGGGGAAGAGTTGATGGGTTTGTTGTGTGAAGGGTTAGGTGTGAAGGAGGATAGATTGAAGGAGTTGTCTTGTTTGGATGCGAGAATTATGGCTGCACATTATTATCCGTATTGTCCGCAGCCGGAGTTGACGAAGGGGTTAACGTCGCATACGGATCCCGGCGTCTTGACGGTGTTGGTGCAAAATGAGGTGACTGGCTTGCAAGTTAAGTTTGGAGATGATTGGGTGGATTTGGAGCCCATTCCGGGGGCTATTATTATTAATATCGGTGATATCCTTCAGGTATGCTCTACGCTAGCTCGTAACTAGACTTGTATAGTTTGCATGCTTGGAGGCCTCTTATGGGTTAATGTAGTATGTTTTTAGTCTTAGTGTAATATATATTTGTTTTATAACCGAGAAATTAGTTGCTTCAAAACTCGATGGATAGCGGGCCTGCCCTCTACCATTCTTCACATAAATATGAGACTTGGTTCACAGCCGTTTCAAACTATCATATCTTGTGGCTACCTCACATTTCTTGTTGTACTACCATTACCATTGAACCACAACCCTGGAATGAGTTTAATACAATCTACTGAACCACATTTTATGTTTAGTGTAATAGTTGAGAGATGAACTCTTATCTGAACTTATAAGATGTCATTAGTGATTGGAGATACATTGATGGAAAAATGCAAAGTTGTAGGACTTTATGTTTGGCGTCAATTAAGGACACAGTTAGACTGACTCCTAAACTTAAGGGACATTTAGTTCAAACTTCAAAACCTCCTACTAGGTGGTTAGTGAAATATTTGAGGGATGAATTTAGTCAAGGCTGTGAACTATTTTCTGAAAAGGAAGTCAAGGCTGTGAACATACGGGATGAATTTGATCATTTTTTCATGTAGTCACGTTAAAGTCAAAGATGCCTACTGTTGGACCAGGATTAATCCAAAAAACCCAAACTCGGAGACTTATATAAGTTCAGATCGAAGATTTTAGGACAAAGTTAAGACCAATTTCTAAATTTAAGAGACCACTTAAGTTAGAAATGTGTCCAAGGTCTATGCTGTTTACTTTATCATATAGGTTTGTTAAATTCATTTACTTATTAAAAAAAGGAAGAAGGTATGTTCAGTTCATTTATGTTTATGCATGATTGATGCTTATCTTTCTGTTGGTGGTTGGTTTCTGATTATAAACTATATAGATGCATGAAAAGATGTTAGAGGGTGAAGTGGTGACCAATGAATGTTTTGGATAGTTGATGAACTCTTTTATGTAGCTAGTTGCCTATGAGAAGTCCAACTCTTTTGGATAGCTTTTGCTTTTTCTGACATAAGCATTTGGTTACAAAGGAAAAGAGAAGCTTGTACAAAGGGGATGAATGTCCTGATCTTATATGTCACTTATTTTTTAACGTTAAATGTTTGAACTTGGAATATTTCACATTGCTTAAGTGTAACTTGTAAGGTGGAATGATTCTCTAACTGCTCCAACTGTTATTAGTTAGCTTCAGTGAATGCATATTCATGTTGCTCCTGGAAGTAACAAATTTCAACTTTTGGACGTTAAAGTATTAAACATGTTTTAGCATTAGAAACTGTGAGACGTTTAACAATTGTTCATTTTATGGCTCAAATTTTTATGTTAAGACACCAATATGTGGATTTGAGAGCATCCTTGTGCCTTTTGCTATATGTTACTGACGTACTGATCTTATATTTTACTAGTTCAAGGAGATGTTAAAATGCCTATACAAAGGTGTCATACTAGACCAATACAAATCATTTGCATTTGTTTCTTTGACTGTCCTTTTGCTAAGGAACTATAACATGGATGCTTTAGTATCTTTGAGGAACACTTAGTTATCCCCATATACTGATTGGCTTTAGTCATGCGCCTAACATAATGATATTATTTTAACAGCTGTGCCAAGAATAGTAGAATCTGTAGCTGAAATATGGTGCATTAGGTACTTAATCATTGTAGTGGAAAATGATTCAAAGGCCGATGCTTTGTGAGATGAGTTTAGGATGGAGTACTTCTTCTCATCGAGAAAATTTCGTTTCTTATAGAAGAAAGCTTATCATCTTTCATTTTTTTTTTAATTCTGACTCTTGTGGTAAAGCACGCCCACATGTCTCCAAGTTTGATTTCCACGATTAGCATGCTTGTAGGGTTCACGAGAGTAAAAATTTCAAATTCCATTGCTATTGATCCAGCATTTTAATTTCAATTGCTGAATGTTGGCATGCATGGTGGCTGGATAGGAAGTTCATTTTTACTGATAAAAATAGAAAGTTCATTCGCTAGTGAACTTGCTCTTTTTTGAATGTTTTGGTATGATATTCACAATTGCTTTAGAATTTTATTGGCCAACCGTTATTTGCCTCGTGGTTGGGGACATGTTCAATATATAGTAAACTTATTTCCATAATATGCATTCTCATTTTATCCTTCCGTCAAAAGACAAGCTATTTTGATTACGTAAGTACATTCTGATGCACCTTTATCTTGCTGGCATGCCCACACTAACTCGTCACATGATATTATTCTGGAAATCATGATTTTCAGCAAGAAGTTTGGAAAGATGGTGCTCTTGCATCTTTGTTTCTGATGAAGCTCATAGACTTTGATTCTTAATATTGCAACCAAATAGTTTTCATTATATAGACCTATCTTTTCATTCTCCGTTGAGCCCCATCTCCTACCCTTTCCTTGTTGCCTCCCAAACACAGCCTTCTTGTTTCTTCCACCTATTCCACCTAAAATACCTCTTCAATACTTCTTTTAATTAAAAGCCATTCTTGGTTCTTCCGCGTAAACTAAATTTTCATACTTTCATAGTTATTCCATTTAAGATATGCTTAAACATGCAATTGTTTGGATACAACCTTCACATCAGAAATCAATAGTAGATCGAGATTCAGTACTTCGGATACAAGCTCCACAATTTCAATGGATAGATCTCTACAGATCTGATTCCTATTCTATCTAAATATAGCTAAAATGTTAACAATAAAAAAAATATAGCTCACATGTTAAGATCTTCTTTTGTTACTTCCGTTCATCCATGGATTTTGCGTACGGATTTTTCCCTATCTCTCCTAGCTTCTCTGCATATTGCTCACACAAAAAGGAAAAAAACAAACATATTTTAGATGTCTCAAATTGAAATTTTTAGATTTTTAAAATTCTTCTTCAATTGTCATTTGTTAGTACCAGAATAATTTTTTTTACTATCGTAGATATTTTAACTTTTAAATTACAGATACGGAGTTCAAAGATGTAATATCTGTAGTAAATTAGTAGATAACTGTTTAAGAATATCCCTATAAGAAGAATATAAAAGCATATTGAAAGAGATTCACATGCAATAGAGTGTCTGATTATGCTTCAAATGATTTCTCTTCATAATTGATGTCAACATTTGCTTGGGTATTGTTTGAGCGTTGGTTTTGATTGCAACCTCCTGCTTGCAAAATTGAGTCTTGATTCTTGAGTCAAAAGTTAGGTGAAATTGTTGTTTGAATCTCCGTGTACTTGCATGTTTGAATTCAAAAGGTAAATATAGAATAAAATTAATAGATGAATTAAAAGTACAAAGACCATTAACAAAAATTAATTAACTTGACATATAAATATTAATAGAATAGTTAGGATTTTTGTGGGGTATCTTGGTCTGAAAAAGGTCCTACACATTGAATACTCCATTTCATTGGAGTTCTTTTGAAGAGATTCCTTCACATATATATATATATATATATATATATATATATATATATATATATATATATATATATATATATATATATATATATATATATAATGGATTGCTAATTTCTATTCATTCTTTTATTTATATAGTTAGTGGTTGTAAACATAATTCATGCCATTTTAACTTTATCTTCACTTGGTAGAGTGAATTAGGGTTTGGTACAAATGGTTAGTTAGAACTCAAGGCTTTGAACTTTATTTAATAGAATCACTTAAGAATAAGAAGATGCTACTTGACATAAATTGGTCACTTTTTGTGATTCTTTTGCATTTGAAAAAATCATAAAGAGGAAATTCTACCTAATTATTTGAAAATATTGGGTAGTCACTTAAGGAACATTTGCATATCAAAGAATTTTCTATTAGAAATATATCATATTAACACCTATAGCATTGTATTCCATTAAAATAACACATCCTTGGTTTCTTAATCCAAATAGTTAAATCTTTTAACAAAATAACATTTCTTCATAGATTATCAATATCAAATTCTTTATAAATTAACGGGATATAATTACGACCATAATCTAGTGTTACACTAGTAAAGTAATATTTTTACGCCACTTCCTGTGTGATTCGACCCTAACCTAGTTGGGTTATTGTATTTGACATCGACCGTTTTACGCCAATTATAAAGGTGTAATTTGAGCGTATTAAATTATGGCGCCACTGCCGGGGATTACAGTTTTGAAATTATTAATTAATCTGCACTTTACTTTAAGTCTTTTCTATTCCATCACTCTTTGTTTGCTTTGTCTTGTGAAATCAGGAATCATGGGTGAACTTGAGGATGTGAATGCGTTTGCGGATATTGATGAAATTATTGATGATGCAAATGCTATTGTCCCTCCGAGAGTTGATGTGACTACTTTCACGATGGATCACAATCTTTATGTGACGCTAAAGGCTGAGAGATTCTTCCTGAATTCAGCCGCCGATGATGACCCATATAACATTTCAAAAATTTCGTGGGTGTTTGTGCATTGCACAAGCAAAATCATGTGTCGAATGATGCATTGAGGTTGAGAGTTTTCAAATACTCTCTTGTATGAGAAGCTAGAATATGGCTAAACAAACTACCTCCAAACACCATCCATACTTGAACCGAGCTAGTGCATGTTTTCCTGGCGAAGTGGTTTCCACCGAGCAAGAAGTCCGAACTCCGAGATCAAATTTTCTTTTTTAAGCAACTTCAGGGGGACAACTTCATGAAGCTTAGGTGAGATTCAAGCAATACTTGGTAAGATTGCCGAATCATGATTTTCCGGAGAACATCTTGTTGGAGAAATTCTATATGGGTTTGGATCCTTTGAACCAATGCGTAGCTAACAATGCGGCCAACAAGTTTTTTATGGTGTTTGGGGATAGTTTGTTCAACCATATTCTAGCCTCTCCGGTTAGAGAGTATTTGAAAACCCTTAACCTCAATGCGTCATCCGACATATGCTTTTGCTTGTACAATGCACAAACACCCGTGAAATTTTTGAGATGTTGCTATGGGTCATCATCGATAGAATTCTGGAAGAATCCTTCGGCCTTTAACATCACATAAAGATTGTGATCCACCTTGAAAGTAGTCGCATCAACACTCAAAGGGACAATGGCACTTGTTAAAAGATTTAACTATTTAGATTAAGAAAACCAAGGATGTGTCCCCTTTAATGAAAAACAATGCTATAGGTGTTAATATGATATATTTCTAATGGGAAGTTCTTTGATATGCAAATGGTCCTTAAGTGACTACCCAATATTTTTCAATAGTTAGGTAGAATTTCTCTTTATGATTTTTCCAAATGCAAAAGAGTTACAAATAAAAATGACCAATTATGCCAAGTAGAATCTTCTTATTCTCAAGTGATTCTATTAAACAAGGTTTAAAGCCTTGAGTGTTCTAACTATTCATTTCTACCAAACCCTAGCTCACATTCCAAGTGAAAATAACGTGAGTTAATGTTTGCAACCACTAATAAAACCAGAGAGAATGAATAGAAATCAACAACCCAATATATACATATTCAATGGTAAACATCCATTAACATGACACCCATCAATGGGTCCACAACCTTAGTATTAAAGTTAGCTACTCATTACAACTAGAAGACAAAAACAAAGCATTAAAGAAGACATTAAAAGCTTACAAGGAAGAAAAGTGACGGAATTTCTTCAAAAAGCTCCAAAGAAATGGAGTATTCAATGCTATCAAGTGTAGAACATTTTTCGAATCAAGGTACCCCACAAAACCCCTAACTATTCTATTTATAATAGACAAAACTGTGACAAAAATGCCCTTCATGTGCCACTCTGCAATCTCGGATGTGATCCGCGGTCCGCACATTTGTCATGTGGCCGCATAACTGATCTTCAGCTTTTCAGAATGGTCATCGCGCATCTGGTATGCGACCCGCATATTGATTCTGCAGTCCGGATGATGGATCTCTGGTAACTGTAAATCCTTGTTGCATTATGTGATGGATCTACCGCCCGCACATTAGTTATGCATGTTTGACTCTTGAGCTTCAGATTTGCTGGATGCTTTTGCGGTTGAAGTGCAACCCACGTTTTCATTTTGCGATCACATTATTGACCGCATATCTGACTTCTTCAGGTGGGTTTTGACATTTCCTGCATGTTCTTGGCTCAATAAGTACGATTTCCTACGATACAACATAAGAAACAACCTAAAATGCTTTAAAAAAGAAGCTAAAGTCCATGAAAATGGTATTGAAAGTGCCGTATTTCTACGACACATCACCAAGCAGCCACATCGATATTCTAACCTTTTATCATTTTCTTTCTTGATATGGGAAATCTTATCAGATTGTCCTTCACAAGAACAAAGAAATATCACCTACTCATTTCATTGTTACTGTTATAAAATTTTGCTCCTTTATTGCAGTTTGCTTAGATGGGTTAATGAAAAAGCCATTTGTTGTTATAGCTTTGTTAGAACTATATGTATGAAGCAAAAATTGAGATTACAAACTTCAAAGTGGGTAGAAGGTCGTGATAAAGACAAGGTCAGTTCAACTATTGGTCATTTTCTAGGTAGTAAGATCAGATTATGGAAGGGGAGCCTTGGCGTAACTGGTAAAGTTGCTGTCATGTGACCAGGAGGTCACGGGTTCAAGCCGTGGAAACAACCTCTTGCAGAAATGCAGGGTAAAGCTGCGTACAATAGACCCTTGTGGTCCAGCTCTTCCCCGGACCCCGCGCATAGCGGGTGCTTAGTGCAACGGGATACCCTTTTTTAAGATCATATTATGGGTTCAATTAAGAAAAAAGGACATGGGAGGTTGAAGCAAAAAATTGAGCAAAGAAAGAAAAGGAAATCACATAATGCATAAAAAATTAAAGCATGATACCACAAATCCTCGAGTATCACGGTATTGACTATCAACACAGAATCATCTTTAATGTGACAAATGCGACATGAGTCTATGGGATTAACTTTTGAGGTTCAGCTCAATCTATCAAGTTACATATTTTTGCTATTGATCTTTGTATTCTTATTTCTGTCTATTTATCTTAACCTTTATTTTCCTTCTAAAATTCGAACATGCAAGTGCATTGAGATTCAAACAATAATTTCACCCAACTTTTGATGCAAGACTCAAGTTTGCAGTAGGAGGTTGCTATTAAAACCGAGGCTCATACAATACTGAAGTAAACGTTGACATCAATTATGAAGAAAAAGCAGTTTGACGCATGTCCATCTCTTTTGATATGCTTTTGCATTTTTCTTGTAGGGGAACTCTATACCTCTAATTTAAAAGTGAAAATATGGTACAAGTAGTGTATTTTAGTACCAAAAGTGTCAAGTAATGAAATTTCAATTTGAGACATAAGACATTTGCTTTTGTGTGAGCAGTATACAAAGAGGGGAAAGATTCGTACAAGTCCATGAACAAATGGAAGTAGCAGGAGAAGATCTTAACAATTGAGCTATCTTTAGATAGAACAAGAGCAAAATCTGTAAAAGAACTTTCCACTCAAGTAATGAATCCCGATCTACTACTGATTTTCAATGTGAAGGTTGCATTCAAAGAAATTGCATGCATGTTTACGTTTTGATAAGTACATATATCTTGAATGGAATAACTATGAAAGTCTGAAAATTTTGTTTATGCGGGAGAACCAAGAGTGACTCTTAACATTTTAGAGATAAAAAAGTATTGAAGAGTTGTTTTAGGTGAAAGAAACGAGAAGGCTCTGTTGAAGAGTTGTTTTAGATGGAGGAAACCAGAAGGTCTTCTACATTAATGCATTGAAGGAAGAAGTGCAAGAATGTTTTAGGTGTAAGAAACGAGAATGTTTTTTGATGCATTTAAGTGTGTTTCGTTTTCTTCAAGCATTTTCATTTCGTTGTCTTTCATTTTTTTGTTCATCTAATCATGTCAACTGGCTCACATTCCAGTACAAACTCATTTTTCTTCTTTGTTTATTTAAACTAACTCAAGTTTCAGTAAATGGACCCACCATACCAATTGTCAAAAGCTGAAGGTGCTCTCGCACACCCTTTTGTTGGTTGTGACTCTGGTCAAAATAAAACTTACTCTTCCTTGTTGCCTCCAAACTGAGGTAAATGTTGCCGTCTTCATTTTCTGATAATCTTGAGGTATAGAGTTTTGCATCAGTGATAGAAAGGTATCTATCTTCCTATGAGAAAGGTACTGAGTAGCTTCATCTTTTGTTTTGTTTGATCTGTTAGATTCGGCTTTTGTTATACTTGTTTCTTCATGATCGTTAATGATGAGTTGATGATCAACAAGGTTGGGAGTAACGTGCCAAATAGTCGGGCTAGGAAGTTAGGAACCTGGTTTATTAGTACAATTAGGGATCGTTTGATTTGAAGACAAGTTATGCTGATATTAGTATATAAGGATTAGTTATGTTGGGATTAGTTATCCTGGTATTATTTCTTATTGACTGTTTGGTATGTTGTATTAATCCTGGATTATTGTTCTACCGTCTGGCAGGTATAAGTTATCCCGGTACTATTTTTAATCTTGGGATAACTGATCCCAAGATTAGAAACTAAACCAGGGATAAGACAGTATTAAATTTTTATCCCGGGATTATTTTTGCTTATCCATCGTACTAAACGACCCCTTATGGTGTAGATTTTACTTCTCCAGGTAGTAATGGTAGACTCAACTTAGACCAAAATGGTCTGTCAAGAACAACTATTTGTATGGTAATTTTTGCTTTTGCTAATGCTGTTTCCCTGAACATAATGTGGTCCAATGCTCATCTTTTTGTGTTTCTAACATTTCCTTAACGATATGTTCCATGAAGATCGATTTCCCTACTGCAGATAATATCAAATGATGAATACAAAAGTGTGGAGCACAGAGTTCTAGCCAACCCTTTCCAAGAACCACGCGTATCAGTTGCAGTATTCTTTAACCCAAGCCAACGAGAGAACTCGTTTGGACCTCTACCTGAACTAATATCAGATGAAAAACCAGCAGTTTACCGGGAATTCGTGTTCATGGACTATATGAGAAGATTCTTTTCAAAGGAGTTGGATGGGAAGACTTTGACAAATTACTACAGGGTTTCAAATCAAATATAAGAACATCTAGGGAAAGACAGCAATCTTTTGTATCAAAATTTGTAGCTTGTGTAAATGATACTGTTCTTGTACAAGTGTTATAGAGTAAGATTACTGTCAAGTACAATATGTCATCAACATAAGACTGTAACTGTTCTGCCCATTCGTGCATAATTTTATTCAATATATTAGGGAAATGCATATATGTACAAAGAGCCGAATACAAATGAATTTACTTGTTTCACTTTTGATGCATCTCTAGAGCCATTTTGGCATTTCACACCTATGCCTACTCAGAGATAAACAACAATAACAACGACAAACCTAGTAGTTGTACGCAGCCTTACTTATCCCTGGAAGGGCAATGAGGCGGTTTCCGATAGACTCTCGGCCTATGCTTACACAGAAATACTATTGAATTATCAGAGACTGATAAGTTCAGAAGTAGAAGTGAAGACTGATACATTGCTTGATACGCTTGTTTAAAGTTGACATAATTCATTTTTGTTTTCTGGTTTAGGAAAATGTTTGGCTTGAGGAAAGATATTAAACTTAATAACGTAGATTGCTGAGATATTAAGTTATATTAATGCATATAGTAGGTTACAAGTTGTTATTGTTGAAAGCTAGCTTAAAAGCGGAAATTTTCGCCAGTTAACCCTTTTTGGGACAGTTGTTTAGTAAATGATCTTTTTATTTTTATTTCAATTTATGGACCTTTTATGAGAAAATGTTAGAATGCGGTCTAAATATTGTAAGTTATCGCAAAGGTTAGACGATAATCTAATGTTTTGTCTATAAGGTTGAGTAATACATGAGCAAATATTAGAATCGAGTCTAACATTATTTGGAGGGGTATTTTTCAAGGACAATATTTGCACAACTATTAAAAATAGGTACAGGATTTAAATGGTAATCTAAGAAAAGAACATTTGTGTAAATCAGCTGCTTAAAAGTTCAATGTTTAAGAAGGGCAGTAAAAGTAGTAAAAACGTATTTAAGTCAAATTAAATCTAATGTGATAATAGTAGTAAAAGCATATTTATGTAATGGTTAAATAGCTAGTTTGAATCATAGAAAATGTAAAATTTGAGCATTTAAATGAATTTGAATTCTCTAAAGTTGTAAAAGTTATAAAGTACTAGCCGATTTCATTTTATTTGTTAAGCATTTCACTTTGAGATATATAGTGTGTTTGAACTACTATGTTTTTATACTACTTTCATACTTTTTAAGAATTTAGATTCTTCAAAATACTTGAGTTCAATTTTGACATGGTGTTTTATCTGTCAAACTAGCTTTTCAGCATAACTTCACTATTTTTTCATTATGATGTATATGATATGTATGTCAAATAAACATCTTAACGTTCATACTCAGTCAAATATTATCGCACAATAATTTTATTTGTAGATTGACTTTTTGGAACGTCCTAAAATAGAAAAAATATCTTAGGTATGGAATGATTAATTATACAAAACATGACATGTGTCAATTTTCGTATTTAGGAAAGAATAAAACAATGCCGCCTTGAGTTTGACTTTGACATACTACCAATCACTTAACACCAAAAATGAAAAGAAAGAAAAAAAGTATTACAAAAGAGAAAAAAACAAATGTAATGGCAGCTTCTCTATTTCTAATTGTTGGTGCATCAACATCATATTTTTTATTTTATTTTTAATATTTTATTTATAAAAATGACAAAAACTTGAATTGCAAATCTACCAACCAATTTTCCAATCATAGCTTCTTTTCTTTTACTTGCTTATTAAAACTGCTTTCAATTAATTAATTTCCATTATAATAAAAGTAATATCAACGTGCCATTTTCCCCTTGTCATTGCACCTTTCTTGATTATGACTAACTGAATGACGTATTTCGGCTGAAACTCTTTATTTGAAGCATTTCTTACTCTTTATTCATGCATCAAGTTAAATTATACACGGATATTAATGAAAAGCATTTTACATACTTAAAAAGGAAAAAAAGAAGAAAAAACAGAGGGAAAAAATTAAACAATTTATCATTTCCTAACAAGGATTTAAGCCCTATTAGTAGCGTAGAATTCCTTTTGCCCTACACCCCTTCCTTTCCCCCGATATTATTAAAAAAATTATATTTACAAGTTGGTTCGGACATTACACTTATTAAAAAATAAATATCTCATACAAGATGAAAATTGTACTAAAGTCTCGCAATTGTAACTCGTCTAGTGGTCTAACCGGATTAAAGACTTTTTCTATTCTACTTTTTCTCACTGCACTATTTACAAAGCATGCCTTCCTCAATTTTTTTTACAAATTTAAAAGACAAGAAGAAATCCATCATGATAAATAGTATTCCCCCGGTTCACAATAAGTGTTCAATTTGCTTTTAGCACGCCCATTAAGAAAATACTAAATTCTATACAAAAATACCTACTATGACTATGTTAGAACATGCGCAGCGGAAGCAACCATACAATCAGGCATCAATTACATGTAAACTAGACTACGCAATAATAACGAGATCAGGAACACTAACCTCTTGAAATAGTTGCACAAATTCTCCTAGCAGCAAGAATCCAGGGCTGTAGTCTGCTATATGCCTAGTAAAACCTTGAACACTTTTGCTTTTGGGTGGGCAAGAACAATACAACTCTAGGGTTAGTTAATAGGAGAAACCTGTCTTCCTCTTTTTGTACACGAAATTAAGCCCTAAAAATAGGCTCAAAAACGTGTGGAGTAGGATTCCATAAGTAGAATCCTACTCCAACTCAAAAAGGTAACTTTTCTCCCAAGCTACTTTTTACCCAAGTTTGTCCAGGTTATTACTAGGTATAGCAGGGACCACAGAAATAATAAGAGGCTACTAATTACAGTACTAATTCGAAGTAGGCAAGAATTAGATCCTACTATAATTAATTGTAATTTATTCCACTAAAAAACTGCAATTGAACTCCTCAATATGAATTTCAAAAATTCATCAACACTTATTTTAACTCCCAATGTTAAGATTTCAAATAACAGTTAATTAAATTAAATCACTGAAAATTTAATTCAATCAACTAATTAATTCCTTTATAATTCCGCTTAAACTATCTCATGTGACGGATACAAAATCCACCGGTTGGGTTTTCACATAAAAACTTATAAGCTTATATAAAGGGGTATTATCAAACCCAAAAACTAAGTCATGGATTCTATCAACTAATTATTATTCACAAATGTTATTTGTTATTGTCCAATTTATTAGGCATATACTAACTCTAAATAGAGTCGTACCTTTTGATAAATCAAAACAATAAACAAATTACATTGATCATAATAATTATATCAAGATTAGGAGTATAAGCTCATTTAATGAATTAGAGAAAGTGTTTTATATGTATTCAGTACAAAAACACCTTTTCTCTACTTGGTCCGTTCAATATACACTGAGTATACTAGCACAAGAAGTTGGAGTAGACTTAATCCCATAATCAAGACAAATTATACAATAATCTTGTGCTACAATCATCAAGATATTTTGTCCGATAATATCTTCGATTGTGAACATAGTTTATTAATTATGAGAACCAACAATTTAATCTTCTGTGTATGAGCTAAGACTCCATACACTAAATTGTCTACTACATAATCAAAAGGACACACATGTTACAAATGATCTATTTAAAATAGTGCTTTATTGAATTGAATAAATTAAATAAATAATTATTTCATAAAGAACAAAATATAATAATATGTCTAAACCGCATGGTTAATAGTATATCCCAACAGACTAAACTACCCCTAATTAAACATTTAATGTGAGGTAAGAAAACTTTTTAGGGATATGTACATAGGGGTTATTTTGTAAAAACAAATTGAATTCTTTCTTGATTACATAACTGGACACTTATTTTGAACCAAAATAAAAAAGCAAATTGGACACTTATTGTGAACCGGAGGGAGTATGTAATGTGCCTTACAATCGATTTCCCCCTTTTATTATTTCCTAACTAACTTCCCTCTACAGTACTAACGACCACTATCTAACAGACTAACAACTAACAACTTGCAACTAACTTCCTTAGATATTGACTCTTAAGCCCTTATTATTTATAGGTAAAGACTAATACACCCCTATTCTATGTATTAGCATATAACATAGTACATCTGATGAATCTTTATGTATTTAGTTATTTTACTTTATAGATCTGGTATTTAACTTCATTGGCTTAACTAATAGTATGAATTTGGACCGAGAATGCTCACTAATTTGAGTCATGGGAGAGGGAAAAAAATCTTATAGGAGGCGTTTTCTCTATTAATAGATCTTACACGATGTGAATTCGGATTGGTTATTCGAACATCAATTGAAAAACCAAAAATTATTATGTTTTAATGAATTTATTTTTTTATATTTTTTACTAGAAGAATTTTTGTATTTTTAAAATTGGAATTAAAGACGTGCAATTCTTGTCATCTTACAACACCCTTAGATTGTGTGAATCTTTATACATGGTCGACGTAATAATGAAGATTTCTAACTTTGGTGCAATTGATTTTTATAAGACAAATCTGACAAAGATTTTCTCCTCAATTTGAAAATGACATTTTTAGGGGCAACTTGGCATATAATGAATGATGTATAGAAATCCCAAAGTGGATCTGCCAAATAGGTCAACTAACTACCAAATTAAAATCATACACATCTGCTGAACAACAGTGCCACGTGGAGAGCACCCAGATGCTTAATTTGAAAGCTGCCGGCCGCCGACCGCCGACCAAATTAACCGCCTCAAATGCCCTCTGGGCCACGTCATCTATTAAAAGAAAAAATCTAAATCCGTTAAAAGAAAAAAGAAAAAAAATTCTAAATATAAAGTGATATATTTCTATCTCAATAATTCAACGCTAAGTTCTTAGCATATTCTCGTGCAGCACGTATTTGTGTATTTAGAAACTAGGTGAGGAAAGGCCCGTATACGGGCCCAACATTGTAATCTTAAAATTGTTGTTTGTTGTTACTCTGTTAATTTTTTGATAAATAAATCGATCATTATTATATCCATTTAATAACTGATAGAGAATATATTGGATCACAATTTTCAACTAATTTATTTTAATAATTTGCAAAAAATTAAACTATAAATTATAACCAGCTTAAGTTGCTCCAATTAACATAAAATGACTATGTGCTATAATACTCATTTTAACATCCATGTCAAATATAAACATCAAATTGAAAAATTGATTTGAATGGTATTATTTCCCCAC